AAAAATGTGTAAATAAAGGGAATTAAAATAAAGTGAAATAAAGAAGCTCTTCTATCTTTCTATTCTGGATAAAGTAGAGGAATTGACTTGTTAGTCTTTTCATTACATTCTATCTTATCAATGGAACTTGCCACAAAAAAAAAATCAGTGGGTTTAATGCAGAACACATGCTGGTGTGAATGTTTTTGTAATTCCCTACTGTGAAGTTGAAATAGTATTTTCCAAAGCTGTTCAATAAGATACATTCTCAGATGGTACAGGTAACGTTCGGCATTCTAACAATAAACTGTTATTCATAATGTATGTAATCATACATAAGGCAATCAGCTGAATAGCTGAAATAAATGTGTTCTGTCTTCTATATGAAATGAAACAATCAGCTATCAGAGGGTTGGGCTCTCATAAGTAAAGAACATTGAAAACAAGCCATACTGTACGTAAGACATATATTAATATATTGAAGTAGTGGAAACATACATACCCATAAACTCAGCATGGATCACTGAGTATTATCATCAGAAAGATTGTGGGAGCTGGCTTCCATTTTCAAATGCTTGTAGGAGCAGGGAATTGATTTGTGTTACACGTAGTAAAATGTTAGCACCGTCTATGATAGCACAGCAAAAAATGACATTCCAGGAATGTCAGTGATTAGCAGAAAAAGAACACAAGATGAAAAAATAAATATTTGAAAGGGATGGGTATTAATATAACTGCCTAAAGAAGTGAGGAAAGCAAAAGTAAACGAATATCAGCTCAGGGGAAAGAGAATAAAAGAGTCTGAAACAAAAGAGGATGCCAAGATAATAAAACTGTGAGCAAAGGCAGAAGACCAACAGAAGAAAGATGCAAATAGTGTTCGGAAAATAAAAAGAAGTGCAAACAACAGGAGGGCACTGGTGTGTGAAATACAGCACATGGAATAATTAAACGTGAAGAAAAAAGACAGAGAAAAACTCTCTCACTTCGTAGATTCTTTTCACAATATGGCACAGCGACCACCTGGCCTTTTAGATAATACTAATTACACCATTCTGTATATACTCCAGAGGCTTTCTAAAGCAACTCCTAATTATAGTTCAAGCACACTCTCGAAAGGATGTAAGCTCTTCATGTCAGCTGTAAAAAGGAATGTACCTTAACCATTCTTGAAGTTCACAGAGAAAGGTTCGTGAGAAGGTCAATAAATATATCTAGCATACTAAATTATCCACATTAATGGAAGGAGGTATATTGCTCTAACACTAACCTTCTTTTAACCAAAGGGCGTGGCAGTATGTGCAACAGTCTTATTTCAGTTTACAAAATGCTGACTGTTACCAGAAGCAGCCAGATGATGCTGAAGAAAATGTTTTTTTTTTCTGACAGAATCATAGTGCTTGATTGGATGATAAATTATGTCAGTGAATACTAGGACATCTGGTAGTCTTTTTTGTTAGTGTGTACTAATTAAACTCTACATATATACAGTACAGGCCATAACATAACATAACATTTTTAGAGGTAATCTGGTTAGTAGAGTCACCTATGTAGTTATTAAAAAAAAAATGTCTTCCAGTGGATATTGGAATTTTGCGAAAGTCTGTAAATTGAAAGTTATTTAGAGACGTGTAACACCTCAAGCAAACACGTTGTTGATCTATTTATCATCATTTAATATTCTAAAAGGCTTTTGGGTTTTACTAAAATGAGTGATGCCTCAATGCTTGACTGTCTTAATTAAGATACACAAAGAAGCTCACAACTGCTAAACATAAATCTATTGTGGTTCATATTTAAATTTCCTCTTTATAGCTCATTTAGGCTCTGCTTTATGTACAAAGAATACTGTAACAGAGAATAATTAAATGTTAAACAGCTGTAAAATCAATAAGTCACATAAAAGCTTTTATCATTTTCAGCTCTTATCCCAACAGACATAAGTCTAGGTCAATAAAAAGTATTAAATCTTTGCAGAATCCTCACTGGGACATATCTGCTTTTTACACTTTTATCCAAGGCATTTCACACATCCAAACCAGCTGATTTGGGGCTATACAGATTTCAGTATGTCCCTACAGAACAACAGGATTTAATAAAAAAAATCTTGCAGTGTATACGTCAATATCTAAGAAGCAGCATGAACAATATTTGATTGTAGCATTTGTTGAAAATGTAGCACATCATAATGTTGGGATTTTTTATTTCTATCTACACTCTAAAACGAATTAATATAAAAGAGAGGTCACCATGGTGTAACAGAAAGTACTGCATTTTGCATACATGTTTTTTTAGTCAAGATTCCTGTCTCCTGTCTCTTAAACCAAAAGAAATGTTCACAAAAATAATACCTCAGCAACCTATTGAAACTGGTTTAAAACGTGGAGTATAGGTGATCATGAATTCAGTACATTATTTCCTGATCAGTTTTAATATGACTAAACAAAACATAATTAAGAAATACTAGCTCTAGTAAAAGTTCTCACCTGAAGTAACTTGAGTTCTATGATCCATATAATGTGGGCTCTTAACTGGGTCATGTCACAAGCCAACTGCAGCAGGGGTCATGCAGTCGTGCACAACTGAATCAGCTTTGCTGAGGGTAGAGATCAGTGAGCTCATGGCAGTTCTCTTGGCTTCCAGTGAAAAAGTGACCCTCTAAGACTTCCAGTGACTGTAGTGAGGAATTTGCTTCTTCAATCATCAGTGAACCCCCTGCGTGTCATAGTTTGTAGTGTGTCAAAAATTTAATTTTATTCCATGCTGAAAAAAAAGAAGAAAGAAAACACAACGTTTCGGACGTGGGGCGTTCTTCAGGTGGGGCCTGAAGAAGACCCCACGGCCGAAACGTTGTGTTTTCTTTCTTCTTTTTTTCAGCATGGAATAAATCTATTACTTGTTTCTTTGCAGCCTACACATGCTGACGCAGCTACCCACCTGAAAAAATATTATTTACCTGGAAGGTGAGCAGGTTGGAGGGTGGGGCCTGTTTGTACTTATGTATTTCTCCTACATGGTAGTAAGGGTTACTGCCATTCTTAACTGCTGTTTCCAAAAGTGTTTGGGTGTATAATGAAAAATAATTTGGGGATTCCTGGCTTGAAAAACAATAGCAGGCAAATAGGGCAGTATAGAAACTCAGCAAGATGAACTTTGTATAAAATATGCAATCAATTGTGAAGCACATTATTCAAACTAAAATGACTCAGTTCATATTTGTCCTATTACACATTTAATAAGAAAGGAATCTAAATGTGTTTATTTCTTTTGGTCAGTTCAAAAACATTGCATTGTATTGTTCGAAGCAACAACTGGGCAACACGAGGATGAAACAGACATTCTAAGGATTCCAACAGAATTTGAAGAAATGTCCAAAAGGTTTTTTTCTGTTTTTTCTATCCCTTTTACTGTCACACAGTTTATAGAACCACATAGTGGTAATCTTCTCAAAACTACAGTTAGACAATGTTGTGAAATGCATCTCAAGATAGACCATGTCAATTGGGACACATATTGTATCCTACGGTGTCTAGCCTTATTGACTCTAAAAATATTCTATAGTAAATGGATGGTTCTTCCATCCATCATAATGTAAAGGACCTCATGAAGGGGGCTGTTTTTATAAATCCAGAAGCAAACCTCTGCAGGTTTCCTCATAAAGAAAATCCATATTACATGAAAAATCTTTTCTTTGACAGAGATTTTCACTTTTCTTCTCATACTTGCCTGTTCAACCACCTCTGCAGCACTTTAGTCTAGTTGGTAAAGCAGAAATTTAATTTCCTTTTGAAATATTAGATAAAAGATTTTGCATTGTAATATATAAGGGTCTGCTCATGTCTCTTCAATGGTGATTTATAACCTGCATAATTATATCAGATTACTAGATGTATACCATAAAAAAGGTATTAAATCCTAATTAAATTTGTATTTTTAACTCATTTGTCTCTATACGGGTACCATATGTTTAATATCCTCTCAGTGAAAGCGGGAAGTGTTGTGAAATTGACCATGATTTGTTTTAAAATTACAAATTATGTTAGGCATACCTCCTGCAAAAAGTATTTCAATTCACTTTATTCCTGAAAGAAGGAATTATGTCAATATTTTTACAGTGTTATTGCATTCTATTCTTTTTTACACAAAGCATTATGACATAGTTTACAGTTAGATTATGATTCATCACTTGTGTGCAGATGCTTATAAATGTTTTGTTTTTAATAATGTGCTGTCAATCCAAACCCTAGCCTCCAAGTGCATTTCACAGAGACTCATAATACTCAACAGCTGGGAGGAAAAACAAGCCTTCTTCCCCAACAGCTAGTTCAAAAAAGAGGATATTTGGTAATGAAATGGAAAAAGCCTGCAATTTCAATCTTATTTCACAAGAAACAAGCAAATTACTTTTTAAGACCTCATTCGTCCATGACAAAGGTCTCAGTTTGTGATGATTATATAATCTTTAGAGGATTTAAGTATTATATAAAGTTCCCTTTTCTTGTAGTAGAACTGCAAATTACCCTATAATACCTGGTATAGAAACATATGGCATTTATTTAATAGCGGTGGCTTACTTCAGAGTAAATTTTGTGTTCAGGGGCTAAAGTGTCTGTTTTTTACCATCTGGATAGTACAGGGCTGCACGAAACAACTCTCTTAGCAGGACTTACTATCAGCACCAGATTTATAACTGCAATGTGCACCCCTGCCTGCATCTCGGGATTAAACAGATGTGGTTCCGTTTTTCACTAGGATTAGGATGACTCCCTGGAAGTATGTTGCCAACCTTTGAAAAATGGAGTAAAACAAATATAAAAAAACAGCCATAGTGTACATAAAAGCTAAATATTATAACAGATGTATTTATTTTGCATATTTAACAAATTGAAAAAAGGCCAGCATTGACATAAAAAATCCAAAGGATTACACCATCCCTGTTGTCATTAAATGAACATTGGTGGAGAATTTTAAAGGTATAGCAACCTGCTCTTCAGGTGTGATTGCTGTAAAAAGCTACTCACAGATATTTGCAGTGCCTTTTGGGATTGGCAGGTAGGATCCAACACTCCAGGCTCGGCCCTGGTAATTTTTCTTACATCTCCCACAGTCTGGGCCTGTGGTGTTGTGCTCACACTCACAAGACAGTTTCTCTTTGTCAAAGACGCAGCTGTTGGCATGAAGGTTGCACTTGCATCTGTCAGGGAAAAGACAGTGTCAACAGTTGTGAATTTTCAGTTGCATGGTTCAATTAAATAAGAAAGGACTGGAACAAAATCTGGTTGCAAGGCAGCTATGACCTTGAATGTATCTTTTTTTAGCACAATACAATATATGCCACACTTTTATTTAACACAGGAATGTGCATTAGATTACAAATTAAACATAAAACTCTTTGTTATGAAAATTGCAGTGCATTGCTTTATAATTATCTCCCTAGAAAAACACCTCATTTAAATTGTCCCATAGGAGAAAAGGTATTTACAAGAAGACATCATCTCATATTTAAAGCAAAACACCACATGAAACACACACATTAAAACACACTCTACTGGGAATTACAAACGTTAAAGGCACTGAGACAGCTGCAAAGCCTTTATTGTGTATTCCTTTGAAGTCAGTGGAGAAAACTTGGCAAAGATCAGGCCTGGAAGGATATTTATTATGATAAATGAAAACATAATGACACCTACAGAAAAGAGCTGGAGGAATTACAACTGAGTATGCAAGGCTTAATTGCATGGACAAGTGGATAATTTCAACGGCTCTTCACCTGCAGATGCTGATGGATTTTGAAGATAGCCAGAAAGACTAAGTTTTATTATAAGTAATACAGAAGGCTCATTATGTGGAATTTGCAGATGATCAACAGACTCATGCAAATCAGCATTTAAGATCACTACAGATGGGCACTCACTCTGTTAAGTGAGGTATTATATGAATGCACTATTCTTTCACAATGTTAAGTGATGTTTTATAGGAATGTGTTAATTAATTTTTAAAGAGAAAAGTATGCACTCAGCTATTTTTCAATTGCTCAATCTCACTGATAGCAATGGTTCATTTTTTTACACACAGTACAATAATCTCAGATCAGGCACCATGAAAGAAAAAGTGAAACATCAGAACAAAGAACACATTTCAGAACAAAAAAGGGAAAATTAGATTTCAAACTATTATGCACAATGATACAGAAAAAATAAATACAGTACAAATATAATAACAAGCCATTACACTTAGCTATTGTCACGGAACCTATACGTGGAAAAGGAGGATCCTTATGCATGACCGAAATCCCACAGGGCACAGAGTAGCAAAGGGACAATCCAAAAGACAGAATCCAAAGGCTGGGTCGATAAGGGAGGCAGAGAGTCCGGTAACGAGAGACATACAAAACAATACAAAGGCAAAATCCAGAAGGCGAGGTCAAGAGGCGGAAGCAGAAGATTCGTAACGGGAGATCAGTCAAAAGGTTTGGAAACACACTGGAGAATACTAAGAAAGGCTTCTCAATAGTGAGCATGGGAAGGTGTGCGAAAGGGGGTTAAAATACTGAAAGGAAAGGGGTGTGATTGGATGATTGGTTAGGGAGTGATAATTTGAGGAATCTGATGCATGTGAGAATGTGCTGGGTTCAATCAAGGATGAGATTGGGAAGCAGAGGTTCCGGGACTGTAACGTCGTTTGCGAGGGAGAGTGTGGGGCGTGACAGCTTTATTTTGTTCTATACAGTCCCCTCCAAAATTATTGGGACAGTGACATTTAAACTGGAATTTTCACAATGAAAGAACAACATGACTGATATGTGTAAAATCGAATAAGTATTTTATTTTTAATACGTTCAATTCAGTTCTACCTACCCGGGTCAAGTAAACAAAAGTATGACAGCTACCCAACAAAGAAATTTCACTAAGAATTTCCTCTGAAAGCAAAGTGGGTAATTCTGAAGCTGAAACAAAAATATCAGAATCACAGGACAGGTCATGGGCATGCTAAAACAGTTTTGAATATACTGAAGTAGAAAGTAACTACAGGTATAATTTACCAATCAACAAAGGCCAAATTAGCCAAGAAACACATCTGCATTTGATGACGCAAACAACATTAAAGTTGTCAGGGAAAAAACTAAAACAACTCAGTGAAACCATCAATAATCTCCAGCGTACAAAGGATGAAATTAACACAACACATACTGTATACTGAGGCAGAAGAATTACAACAGCCTCTCATCTATACGAAGAAGTGAAAAGCCAGACTGAAATTTGAAAGTACAAAGTTGAGCCAGGAAAGTTATGGAAATAAGTTTTATTAATAGATGAGACCAAGACGAACAGTTACTTAAGTGATGGAAAGGTTAAATTATAGCAAAATAAAGGATGTGCAGACTCTCCAAAGAACACCACCTCATCTTTGAAGTGTAGCAGAGTTAATGTCATGGCCTGGGCATGCATTGCCATCTCTGGAACTGGCTTGCTCATGCAGTATTTATGGATGAGGTAACTAATGATGGCAGGAGCAGAAGGTTTCCATAAGGCTCACAATTTATTTTCTCTGCTCACAGAGAAGAAATGTCTTCCTTACTTGCTGTGTGGCTCAACATGACCATGACCCAAAACATATAACCAACCAAGGAGTTTATCAAGAGATAGAAAAAAATGGAAAAAAATGAGAATGCCCAAGTCAGATTTAAATCCAATAGAATTGCATTTTACTGTACATACTGAAGAAAAAAAGCTGTAATCACAACATCCCAGAACAGGCAACAACTCAAAGTTGCTGCAGTAAAGGCTTGGCGAAACATATCAAATGATTCTAGTTTGGAAAGACCAACCCACAGTATTAATACTACAATTCTCAAAGTGAATGTGTCCCATTACTTATGATTACTTACTACTTACTTATTACTTAATTGAAAACATTGTGTTGAACACAAAGTAGGTTTTATTTCTAATATGATGATGGAATGAATGTGTGGAATTACCCACACATAAAACATGTACTATACCATATTGTACTTATCCTATTCCTATTAACCTCATGATTCCAAATACAAAATGAAATACACATGGCTTGATTGTAAAGCAAAAATAAAAGTTTTTACTTTGCTGTCCCAGAATTGTTTGGGAAATGTATGAAGTAGATAGGTGGTAATTATTATATATCAATAACAGTATTCTCCTAAACTTGCAATACAGTGAAAAGCAGTGAAATCCAAGACAATAACAGACTGATACAGCTTGTAGAAACATACCACATGTTTTATTTTATGTTTTTGTGGGCAAAAGGAACTTCTGGCCATGGATTTGCTATCAGCCATTGTATCTTGATTCCACCACACAACACAGGTCAAGCTTACAACACTGTGGCTTTCTAATAATAAAACAGTGACATTGATTTTGTTTTGGGAAGACAAAGGTTACATTTGTGTCTTGTTCCACCATCCTGAACCACATGTGAGGAAGAAACTAAAGTGGTTGGATAAATATTGGTTTTATGAGTAATCATATGCTCCTTGTGGGAATTCGTGTACACTTCAATATCATGTGTGTATTTGTGTTTATGAAGCTCTTTTGCTACTAAAAAAAGAGGAGGTATTGTGATTGTCTGTAAGTGCAGTACTACATGAGCTTTTCCGGTATTAAAGAAGCAATTAAGCTTTAACCTTATTTATACTGATCTTCTGCCTTTCCTTATGTCATTCATAAAAGGTTCACAGTTCATTTTTTATGGTATCATTTCAGGAAATTGCAACCTTGAAGTAGTTTTTGAAGAGTCAACATGTCCTTCCAGTGCCATAGATTCTCCTCAGCATCACTAAAAATATATTTTCATTGCAGAAATTGCATGAGACTCCAGCACTTTTACTGTAGCCTGTCTGTACTAGAGAAGACCAACAAACACATTTCATGATGTACTGCACATGTACTTTTTATCATCTTATCTGAGGAAACATATAGAATAGATATTCTGTCTTTCATTTTGTAAAGGTGTAAATTTATTTTAGCTGAATAAGGAAGCAAAAAGGCAGAAAGCAAATTATCATTACACAAGTATTTCAGTCTCTCTAGTTAGGTTCTAAAATATATGCATATACTTGTTTCTGTTAATAAGGCCTGGCTTGGAAGTTAAGCAGCAGCTGGTGTTGTTTATCTGGTCACAGCTAGCTACCAGTGTTAAGATGCTTATGCTGAACCCAGAGATAAATATGACAATTTAAGAAACAACACATTAAACCAACAATTTGACTTGTATCTATGCCACAGTGTTCTGCTAAACTAGAGTGCACATGGTATAAGCATAACAGTGATTATTACCATAAATAACTCCTTGAAGTATTTCACTTCTTTCATTGATGTAAATTCACACAGTGTGAATCATTAGCTTATTACCATGGTGTATTTTAAGGGGTCTGTGTAAAAAACTGATATGCATGACATACCAAAATCTTCCTTAAGTGACAAATGCCTTTCCTTTCCCTGCAGGTATACATGAGCTGCATTAATGATTGGCTATTATTCTGGAGAGTTGCTTATTTGCATCCCATTATAAAAAGACTTGCAAAAAGAACATGTCAATTTTTTTAACTTCTCATAAACTTCTAAGCCACACATGATATTTTAAAACCAATAAGTAACAGATTTCCTAGATGAGAGGTACAGAGTACTGCAAGTATTGCAGATACTTCAAAACTCTTTAGACTTTTCTGAAAGGCCAAAACTGTCATATAAAACTAAATATCAAAGTGCTGTTAAAGCTGAATTTGATGCTGAATACACTTTCATGCTCTTCATAAACTACACAATATAGGAACAGAATATGAGTCATGCTTTACTACCTAAAAAGTAAGACACCTACTCTTAACCGATGTAGTGTCTTTCTTGTACAAGAGCAAAAACCTTCAGAATGGAATGAATCCAAAATGAATGTTGTTATATCTACCACTTGTGTTTTATTCACATAGTGTATATTAATATACATGTTATAGTATATTAAATTAGTTTTTTATGAGAAACAAAAATAACTCTTCATTTTATTTGTTTGGTACCATAATGGGTGCTAGTAATACAGAAAATTAGAATAACATGCACATTAAAATTTAAGTCATCTAGATTCGGTTAAACTGTAAGAGTAAATGTCACTGTGGTTTAAAAAACGTAGATATGTTATGAAAATCTTGAACACCTTCTTTCAATTTTT